TATTATATTCTTTGATGCAGTTTTTAATTTTGATGTAGCATAATTTATGTATTTTTATTTTCGTTGCCTGTGCTTTTGGTGTTATATCCAAGAAATCACTGCCAAAGCCAGTGTCATGAAGATTTTCCTCTGTTTTCTTCTAAGAAAATAAAGTTTTAGGTCTTATGTTTAAGTCTCTGATCACTTTTGAGTTAATTTTTTTATATGTTGTCAAGTTAGGGTCCAACTTCATTTTCTTGCATGTAAATATCCAGTTTGGGAAAATATTTGTTGAAAAAACTGTCCTTTCACCATTCAATGGTCTTTGCACCCTCGATGAAAAGTATTGATTATATAATTTTTTTAGAAAATTTGTTTTTATTAATTTTTTTAAATAGAGGGAGGGATACAAAGATAGAAATATCAGCCTGGCCAGTTTAGCTCAGCAGTTAGAGCACTGGCCTACGGACCAAAGATAGAAATAACGACGTGAGAAAGAAAGATCAATCAGCTGCCTTCTGCATGCCCCCTACTGGGGATCAAGCCCGCAACCTGGGCATGTGCCCTGAACAGGAATCGAACTGGCGACCTCTTGGTCGACGCTCAACCACTGAGCCACACCAGCCAGGCTACAATTCTCTTTTAAATACTCTTGTCACACCCCAGCCAGTTTGGCTCAGCAGTTAGAGCGTCAGCCTGCGGTCCAGAGAGACACGGGTTCGGTTCCCACTTAGGGCACGTACCTCGGTTGCAGTTTGTCCCCGGCCCTGGTTGGGTCATGCGGGTGGCAGCCACTCGATGTGTCCCTTTCATGCTGATGTTTCTCTTTCTCTCTCTCTCTCCTTCTCACTCTATCTGGACAAAAAATGAAAAAAATGTCCTCGGGTGAGGATAAAAAAAATAATAATAAATAAATACATACATACATACATACATACTCTTGTCATAATAAAATCCCCAAATTAGCCTGAATTTCCACTGAACTATTTACTCCCTTGGTAGAACAGGTAAAACATAAGGGATCAAGAGAGTTAAATGTACAATATATATGCTACAGTCCATTTGTATTATTTTTCTTCGTTTTGATGAAGTAGCTACTACTATAACATACAAATATAACACTGTCAAACCAATGTTTCTTGTTTATACAGGTAACTGAACACATTATATTACAGAACTTTTACCAAAGGTATATTGCTCTATTATCATATTTCTAATTATCATCTTAAGAGAGCCTTTAAAGGCTCTGTCATTATGTTGGTTTTAGTCATTTAAAGTTTTTAATTCCTGTATTCTTTACAGAAAGTACAAGAATAGATTAACCTTAAAGCTCTTCCCCAGGAGCCACCTTTTCATGGCAGCAGGACAGGTTAGATGGCTTATTCGTGTCTGCACACCACAGTAAAGAGCAGAGAGGAAGCCTGGCCCAACACCCAGCCGGATGATCTCCCGTGAGACGACACTATCTCTAAATACGTATGTCACAGATATCACATCAACTCAAAGTTATTACTGCTCAAAATGATAGGAAATGTAAAATACTCACTCACCACAGAGTGTTTTACTTAGAAAATCTGGGTAGAGAAGGTGGTAGTATAAATTCTCAGCAATTCTTAAGTCAACTTGCAAAGATAACTGCTGAGAGACTTATCTTACATTTATCACCTTCCAGACAGAAATTTAAAGGGTAGAGTAAAAGTTTGAGGCAGTGGGAACAAAGGAGTCTGCTGTGGCCATTTACCCTGAGATCATCTCAATTAAACAGTGTCACAGCCATGCTGATAGCCCTTGAGTTTCATGTCCCAAAATCAACAAAAATGAAAAAAATTCTAATTTAACTGTTATTATTATTTGCTACATCAAGAAAAATACTTGGTATTTAAATTTGATTGCTATCTTTTTTAAAAAATGTTTTTATTGATTTGAGAGAGAGGAGGTAGAGGGAGAGAGAGAAACATCATTGGGAGAGAGGAACATTGATCATCTGCCTCCCATGGACCAAATCCGCAACCTGGGCATGTGCTTAGACCAGGAATCGAACCGGCGACCTTTTGGTGTATGGGATGATGCTCAACCAACTAAGCCACACTGGCTACAGCTGATTGCTATTTTACTGAAACATAAGATTAATCTCACATGAGCCATTAACTCAATAAGGACCCAAAGGAGAAGGGTACAATGGCACAGCCAGCTTTGAGCCTGGAGTAAGAACAGGAAGCAGAAGGTGCTATGACACACAAACACCTTTGAGTACCAGGGAAGACAGAGTGGCAGAGAGGCAGGAAGAGTTTAACTCCATAGTTCCTCACTTACTGTTTCCTTTCCCAGAACACTGCTTAGTTAACAATTCTACTGTGTTATAGAGGCAGAAAAAGAAAGAAATTATAGTAAACACTGAGCCATGATGGTGGATAGGGGGATTTTCTGTCTCCTACACTTAATCTGGGAATGAACTAGAAGTCTATCATACCTGTGGCAAATAAGAATAAAAAGACAATGAATATTTCACTTTATGTGGCATCTAATGAACAAAATAAACTAACAAACCAAAACGGAAACAGACTCATAGATACGCAGGACACACTGACAGCTGACAGAGGGAGGGGGTTGGGTGGCTGGGTTAAAATGGTACAGGGATTAAGCAAAGGAAAAAAACCCCTCAGAGACATAGACAACAGTATGGTGATTACCAGAGGAAAAGGGGTGGAGGGAGGTAGAAGAGGGCAAAGTGGAGTTAAATGGTGATGGAAGGAACCTGGACTTGGGGTTGTGAACACACAGTACAATATACAAATGATGTGTTATAGAACTGTACACCTGAAACCTATATAATCTTATTAACCAATGTCACCCCAGTAGATTTAAAAAAACAACATTGCAATTCAGCAACAAATTTTCAACAGTCAACATGGTCCACAAAGTTAAATTTAATGTATGGGTTATTATTTGTTTTACAAGATTAAATAAATAAGAATATTAAATCAACTAAAAACATTTAAAAGCATTTGAAAAGAAATTAGTAATCACATTTAAGACTTGAAAACAGTGATTAATCTTTTTTTCTCAAGACTCCTTTACATCTTAAAAACTGAGGACCCCAAATTTGTACTTACTATAGACAGCTGCCATATTAAAAATAAAAATAGCCCTGGCCAGTTTGGCTCAGCGGTTAGAGTGTCGACCTGCGGTCCAGAGAGACCCAGGTTCGGTTCCTGCTAAGGGCACATACCTCGGTGGCAGTTTGTCTCCGGCCCTGGTTGGGTTGTGCGGGTGGCCACCACTCAATCGATGTGTCCCTTTCACGTCGATGTTTCTCTCTTTCTCTTTTCTCTCTCTCCCTCCCTCTTTCCCACTCTATCTGAACAAAAAATGAAAAGATGTCCTCGAGTGAGGATTAAAAAAAAAAAATTATATACTAATTCATTTAAAAATAAAAATAACCTCATGTTAATATATTTATTTTAATGAAAATACTATATTTTCCAAAACAAACAAAAAAATTAAGAGGAGGGTGACATTGTTTTGTGATTTTACAAATGTGAACTATGTCTGACTTTAATAAAAGACAACCAGATCCTCACACCTACTTTACATTCATCTGTTATTTTGGTTGATGTACATGGCAAAAATATCCAAACTCACAAAGATCGATAGTTAAAAAAGGTAGGAGTATTTTAATAGCTTTTTCAGATAATTATGACTATAATCATCTGTTACTACATCAAAACTAGACAAATGGTAGTTTCATAAATATTAGGTGCAATATAGAACCTGAAAAACATATCAATGAACTTTTTACATTATACTACAGTGAAATCCATTGGTCTAGCTTGCATATTGAATGACTCTTTTACTCATGCATAACGTTATAATGTCTTGTATTGGTAAATGGGAAAATACTGGTTCACTGAGTTACAAAGATTTTCTAAATGTTAACAGATTTGATCATATAATATTTTTTTAAATCACATACAATAATACCCATTGATCTCATGAAAAGTCTTTTAGATTCTGGGAAGCTGTCAAACTCAAAGTGGCAGATACAAATGTCCAAAACTGTAATCTTCAAATTCAATGGTAACAAATATTGTCAGTTGCTCTCCTTGAAGTGACAGGTTACTTCATTTATTTTCAAGAAAATATCCGCCTAATACTGAATAAACAAGTTTGAGTAATCATGCATTTTGCCCTTTATAATAAAAAGGAAGTTTCATGGAGAAAAAAAACAAAAAACAGCACACTAGTTTAGCTCCCCACTAAAGCCCAGCGCACAGGTGCCTTTTCTGGAGACAACCACCGAACTTGGTATGCAGTGTCCTTTCTGTCGCTGCCCTTTCTGTCACAGAACAGCAAGACAGTGTGAAACTCAAGGATTAGGATTGAATAAAAATAGTATTTTTTACACTATATCAAGGACACTCTTAAGTGAAACTGGCTTCCCTTTTCTCCTAACTTAAACAGTAAGTGCAGGCAGTCAAGGGCACATGACTGCTGGTGTACTTTGGTGACGCTGTCTAGATTAGTGCTAAGGCACCAGCGGTTTTTACCACCGCAGGTTCTGTTCCATCGGTGGAAATGTCAACACAGTAAAAAGATAAATAACATCTTAGTATTATTATGAAAATAATTTTGACATTATGGACCTCCTGAAAAAAATCTCAGGAACCCACAGGGATCCAGGGACCATAATTTGAGAACTACTGCTTTAAGATATCTTTATTTTGCACCCTGGCCAGGTGGCTCAGTTGGCTGGACGTCGTCCTGTACATCAAAGGTTGTAAGTTTGATTCCTGGTCAGGGCACATAGCTAGGTTTTGGGTTCGATCCAGGCATGTACGAGAGGCAAGTGATCCATGTTTCTTTCTCTCCCCTTCCTCTCTCTCTAAAATCAATTTTAAAAACATCTTTGGGTGAAAATTTTTTTAAAATCTCTACTTTTGGCAAGGAAAGGACCCACTAGCTCCTATATATTATAAAATAACAGTAAATATAGGCAAAACACAACAAAAATATCCTCTTACCTCTGCCAAGATGAAAGACAAATGGTTCATTTCTATCACGACTGGAATCAAATTTCTTTCCATTTGCAAATTTTCCGTTGTAATGGACATAAACTCTATCTCCAATCATTGGTGCTTCCTCACTATTCCCCACTCTTTTGACAATCTAGAAAAGACAAACATCAAGAAAAAGGAAATAGAACTTTTAACTTCTAATCATAAAATCAAAAGACCACAGTCCATTTCATACCACCCAGGCAGATTTGTAAACAATTATCCCTTTTTTTTTTTTTTTTTTTTATCCTCACCCGAGGACATTTTCCCATTTTTTGTTCAGGTAGAGTGGGAGGGAGAGAGAAGAACAGAGAGAGACAGAAACATCAATGTGAAAGGAACACATCGAGTGGCTGCCACCCGCACAACCGGGGACAAACTGCAACCGAGGTACATGCCCTTAGCGGGAACCGAACCCGGGTCTCTCAGGACCGCAGGCCGACGCTCTAACCACTGAGCCAAACCGGCCAGGGCAATTATCTCTTTTCTAAAGGCTCCCTTCCTAGTTCTCTCAAAAACCTGTACTATTAGAGAATAGTCTTATTTTACTCTTAATCTTTAATGCTACATTTAATCTTATTGTTGATCACACTGCTCCCTCAAAATAACTTACCAACAGATCCTGCTTCATTGGTTTAATGCTCCCCATGCTTTGGCACTAAAATCTCTCAAAAAACAGAGCTGGTCCATAGACAAACTGAATTAGACCAAGATGATTAATAGATTTTCAAAAAAATTCAAAAAGAAGTCTAAAGCACCCCAACCAGTGTGGTTTAGCAGACTGAGTGTCGTCCCATGAACTGAGACATCCTGCCTGGTTCGATTCCCGGTCAGGGCACATGCCAGGGTTCCGGGCTCAATCCCCAGTAGGGGGCGTGCAGGAGGCAGCCAATTGATGTTTCTCTTTCAAAAAAAATAAAATAAAAACGTATTTTTTAAAAAGTCTAAAGCAAAGTTCCAAAGGTGAAGTTTTATTTATTCCGTCCTATGCTAAGAACATTAGCTTCTGACTAGATTCCACTAGTTTAATTTCAAAAAGCCTAATTTCCTGGAATAACAGGTTACACTTCCTATTATTTGAATATTCAATGTATAAAAACACAACATCACTGCACAGTTTGATATAATACTGAATACTTTATTTTCTAGTAAAGAAAATGCCACAAAAAAAAAACAAAAAAAACTCTTAAGCTGAAAAATACCTAACTATTATAAAATCCAGTATATTTGTTTTGTTCTTGGCAGAGCAAGCCACTAAAGCAATTGGTCAGTCCTAGGGGGGAAAAATCAACCCTAAGCATGTGGTGGTGTAATTTATCCTGTCAATCACTTATGCTGAATTAATCATTTTTATTAGATAACAGGGGGTGGTAGCTAATATCCCAAGAACATCTTTTTGGGGAAAAGGTCTGAATTTTTATCTAAAGAGTTAAATTATTTGGTCTTATATGCATCTTTTTAAAAAATTATTAATTTACTTTTGCTACAGGGGTTTCTCCTCCCAGCCCTGCTTCGCAGCGTTGTTGTGTGTGTCCACTGGTTTGTATTTATCTTGGAGACGTGTCCCTCTCGCCCCACACCCTCACATCACCACACAAACACTATCTTAGAATCTACAATTTTCTTAGTTCAAAAGCTCAGTCTGTAAAAAAGAATCATTACTGTAACTCCATAAAAAAGCTGTTAGAATTAATAAATTCAGTAAAGTTGTAGAATACAAAGTCAACATACAGAATCACTTGTTTCTACAAACTAACAATGAAATATCTGGGAAAAAAAATAACATTCTGGAAATGCAAATCAAAACCACAATGAGATACCGCCTCACACCTGTTAGAATGGCTATTATCAAAAAGACAAGATAAAAGGGAACCTTTGTGCACTGTTGGTGGGAATGTAAACTGGTGCAGCCACTATGAAGAAGAGCATGCAACCCTGGCGAGTGTGGCTCAGTGGTTAGAATGTTGGCTTATGCACGGAAGAGTCTTGGGTTTGATTCCTGGTCAAGGGCATGTACCTTGGTTGCAGGTTTGATCCCTGGCCCCGTCAGGGCACATGTGGGAGGTAACCAATGAATGTGTCTCCCTCACATCAATGTTTCTCTTTCTCCCTCCCTCCCTTCCTTCCACTCTCTCTAAAAATCAATGGAAAAATATCCTTGGGTGAGAATTAACAACAACCAAAAAGAGCATGGAGGTTCCTAAAAAATTTGAAAATAGAACTACCATATGATCCAGCAATCCCACTTTTGGATATAAACCCAAAGTAAATAAAAACACTATCTTGAAGTGATATCTGCATTCCCATGTTCACTGTAGCATTATTCACAAGAGCCAAGCCTTGAAAGCCACCTAAGTGTCATTGGCTGAAAGGATAAAGATGTCTCTGTCTCTGTCTCTCTCTCTCACACACACACACACACACAGGAATATTATTCAGCTATGAGAAAGAAGGAAATCATATTGTTTGTGACAATATGAATATACCTGTAAGGCATTACACTAAGTGAAGTAAGGCAGACAAAGAAAAACACTGTTATATCACTTACATGTGGAATCTAAGAAAGATGAACTCACAGAAACAGAAAGTAGAATGGTGGTTGCCAGGGGTTAACGGATGGGGAAATGGTGAGATGTAAGTCAAAGCATATAAACTTTCAGATATAAGATTAATATATTGTGAGGATCTGAAAGGGGCAGGAAAGAATATTAGAATTAATAGAAAATATTAGAAGAATAGGAAAACTAATCATAGTGAGGCACTAGGCATAGTTGTAAGAAATGTTAATCATCCTTTGCAATGTTAATCATGGTTGCTTTGTTCTGATTAAAGAAAAGCCCACTCTGTTTCTGACCTGGCTGGGAGTGTGTGCCTCAGGAGCTGACCTCAGTAATGCTGTCCCTTCTCCTAACCTGAGGACCAGGGGGACCGCCAGACATCATGGAAAGATGAACAACCTGATTATCGAGCGCTGCACTCCCAACTAAACTCACTGGTGACCAGCCCCTGCAGCATCAGACCCACATTCCTTCCCCATTTGCCCAAAACCTTCTATAATCCACCCCTCCCACCAACATCCCTCCCCTGTTGCCTGTAAACAATTTGCCCGTTTATTTATTTATTTTTCTTGTTTGCCCAACTGCCCTTTCTCACGTAGTTATTGTTTCTTTGCCCTTTAAAAGCAGCTGGCAAGTGAGGGGGGCAGAGCAGATTTTACGGGATGACCCACTGCTCCCCGTATTGCCGGCAATGCTAGAATAAACACTCATACCCGATTCAACCTTGTCTCTGCTTAATTGGCTCAAGTAGTGACAGGCAACCCGGACCCATTCATTGTCCGGTTTCAGATGAAATGTACAGCATGGTGATCATAATTAACAACAATGTATATTATATATTTGTAAATTGTGAAGGGAGTAGAACTTAAATGTTCTCACCACAAAAAAGAATTGGTAATTATGTGAGGTGATGGAGGTGTAACTAACCCTACTGTGATAATCATTCTGAAATACATAAATATATCAAATCATCACATTCTACATCATAAATTTACATAATGTTACAGGTAATTATATGAACAAAGTTAGAAAAAAATAATTATAATTTAAAAAATTAAACTAAGAGCTACTTAAAAAAATCATTACTGCCCTTCAAGGATTTCAAAGGCAAAAACATTTAAAAAAAATTAATGTAGCCCTGGCCGGTTTGGCTCAGCAGTTAGAGCGTCAGCCCATGGACCAGAGAGACCCAGGTTCGGTTCCCACCAAGGGCACGTACCTCGGTTGCAGTTTGTCCCAGGCCCTGGCTGGAGTAGCATGGGTGGCAGCCAGTCGATACGTCTCTCTCACATTGATGTTTCTCTCTCTCTCTCTTCCTCCCTTTCTCCCTCCCAGTCTATCTGAAGATAAATACTAAAAAAAAAAAAAAATGTCCTTGGGTGAGGATAAAAAAAACAAAAATTAATGTGCCCGGCTGGTGTGGCTAAGTGGTTGAGTGTCAACCCATGCACCCAGAGGTCACCAGTTTGATTTCCAGTCAGGGCACATGCCCAGGTTGTGGGCCAAATCCCCAGTGGGGGGCATGCAGGAGGCAACCAATCAATGTTCTCTCTCATCAATGTTTCTCTCTCTCTCTCCTTCTCCCTTCCTCTCTCTCTCAAATCAATAAAGAAAAAAAATTAATGTAACAGAAACCACACGATATTCTGAAAGTGCTCATGTTCATGAACTGCAGGTAGTATGTGGGAGCGTGAGCCTCACGTGGAGGGAGTCTGCATTTCTAGGACTATGAACAAGTAACTGGGCACTTGAGATGAACAGCTACCATAGTTAGATAGCTGTGCACACCAGCGAGTGATACTGTGGTATATCACCTCAGGTGCCCCCAGCACGAATTTGTGCCTAAATCTGGAGTTGCTTTAAGGTTACAATCTAGTTTCAATTCATTTAAAAATATGTAAACTCTACAATGTAATTTTATCTTCCTGGGCTAGTTACTGACTTCCCAGAGCTGCCTTGGTCTTTTTTTTTTTTAAATATATATAATAGTTAGTAAGAGAGATTAACACAGGTGTGGCAATGTGCTAAATGCTTTATGTGATCCCGATAACCCTCTGAGCGAGGTAGTATTATTCCCCACAGACAGGTTAACTAACTAAATTGCCCTAGGTCACACAGTTAGTAGACCTATTCAATCTTAACAAAAGCCCAAGTCCATGATGAAACCTGAAGCTCCAGACAGTGATAAATGATATGATTTAAAGCACTTACAATCTCAAAATGTTTCTTACAAGCCTAAAAATCTTATTCGTTTACTCCCTAGAACAAAGCAGAACCTGGGGCAAGTTGGGGGACTGCTCTTTGATGGGTGCTCTGAAAAGATGAAAGAGGAGGGAGACCCCAGGACAGCCTGCAGATCTCATTGTCTCCAACAGCATCCTGAAGTTTGGGGTGAGCAATTCATAGACCTATAAGGTTGAGAAGCCAACCTTATAGCATCTGAAAGAAGGTATCACGACATAAACCAATAGTATAAAATCCTTACTCAATAGTTGCAAATCTCCAAAATGTGGCTTATTGCACAGCAAGCTAACAGTAAAAAACATGTATATTTAGAAAAGACTCAGGCATAGAAAAAAGCATTCACAAAAGCAACATTAGCCAAAACAAACTAAAAAAATTCTCATTTGCTACTGCAGACACAAGGAAATATTAAAACTCAGCTTAGAAGTAATATTTAGAATGTGTAAGATGATCTTCACAACAACAAAAGAAATTAACAATTACACAAAACTTGTATATATAACAGTATAGGAGAAATAATTTAATATGACTAGAATCACTTAACCTCTCTCAGCTTCAGTTTATTCACTTATATAGAATATAAGTATCTATTTTCCATTAATAGAAGTACTCTGTCTTACAAGACCATTGTGAAATACAAATAAAATAAAACATGCAAAAACGATAAAACTACAGAGTGAAAAATAACATAAACTGTTTTAAAAGGAGTAAAGTTAATTTAAAAGTGAGATATAGCCCTGGCTGGTTTGGCTCAGCGGTTAGAGCATCGGCTTGCGGACCAGAGAGTCCCGGGTTCGGTTCCCGCTAAGGGCACGTACCTCAGTTGCAATTTGTCCCTGGCCCCAGCTGGGGTCGTGTGGGTGGCAGCCAGTTGATGTGTCTCTCTCACATTGACATATCTCTCTCTCTCTTCCCCCCTCTCTCCCTCCCACTCTATCTAAAGATAAATGCACACACACACAAAAAAAAATGCCCTTGGGTAAGGATTTAAAAAAATAATAATAATAAAATAAAATAAAATAAAAAATAAAATAAAAGTGAGATATAGTTTCTGATAAAACATCAAAAAATATCTTTACTATACACAGGTACACTATTTGCAAATAAAAACAAACCCTTGCCTGGCCAGATGGCTCAGATGGTTGAAGTGTCTTCCTATACACTTCAATTCCTGGTCAGGGCTCATAAGTAGGTTGCAGGTTCGATCCCCAGTTGGGGCACGTGTGGGAGACAACCGATGGATGTTTCTCTCTCACAATGATGTTTCTCTCTCTCTCTCTCTCTCTTTCTAAAAATCAATAAACACATCCTTGGGTGAGGATTAAAAACAACAACAAATCCTTTTGAACTTTGCAAATTAGCTCTTCTTTTTTCCTTTAAAGGTCTTTTAAATTGCTACTGGCCACCTTTAATATACCGAAATATTATATTAAAATAACAACCTATTTGTACATTCTTAGAATAGAGAGAGACAGCCTTCTGGAGTCAGACATAACTTGGACCTGAACCCCAGATCTGCATTTACTTAAATATGTGATACTGGGCAAGTTTATTTACCTAGTTGGGCCTCAGTTTCACCATCCATAATCTGGGATTAAAAATAAACCTCAAGTTATGAAATAAAATGAGAATTTAACTGTAATGTTTGGCACTTAGTAAGCCTCAGTAAACATTACTCATCTCTAGCCCACCCTCAAAAAAGATTTTTACAGTCTTTCCAGACAGTAAATTTCCCCAGATGCCATTCATCCTTGTGGCCTCACCTTTAACACTCCTCTATCTTTTTTAGGGGTAAGATCCTCGCCCTTCTCAGCAACAGCTGCTGCTAGGCTTTGTCCATTGTTCTTGGCACTTTCATCAGTAGTCATTGTCCTTTATAAGTAGAAAACCTGCTGAGAAGAAACATATTTCAGGAAAAATTTCACTTCTTTATGCATCATAAAATGCTCCCAGGAATTGAGTATTCATTATCTGACCTAAGATTTACTTCGGGGCAATAAGGTTCAACACTGAAAATGAAAACAAAAACATTCATGATGAGAATGTGCTGATATCATGAGGCATGTAAATAAAATATCATCCAACTCCAATTTCCCATCCAGCTCTGGTCCCAAATTCAACAGCAGTATAAAATAGGTTAGGTAGTGGTTATATTCCATAACATAATTACACATTGAGAAATAGTCTTTTCAGAACTTTGAAAATGTCCTTTTCCTACAGCCATGTTTTTGACAGAGAATTAAGAACTTATCAAGTGAGTTGATAAGAGAAATGTCAATTGAATCATTGTGGGAAACAGAACAGGCTTTGGAAGCTGACAGACCCCAATTCAAGTCCTAGCTCCATCAATATCTGTTTGACATTTACAAACTTAATCTCACTGAGCCTCAGTTTCACATCTGTAAAATGGACATAGTACATTGCTCATAGAGTTACTCTGAGACACTGATAACGTATGTTAAGAGATTAGTACTGAGTCAGAATTTAATGTAAGTATTTATTACAATTATTATTGGGTCTCCTATAGGGTCACATCTTTCATTTCCTGCTCAAAAATACCTACAAAATGAGGTTCTTCCCTAGCATGATAATAATCAAGGTCCTTCACAATCTGATCCTAATCTATCTTTCAGGTCCAGTTTCCACGACTTTCTTTAACTTTTTTTCATGCAGCTTATGCTCTAGCCAAACCAGACCAATTCCTCTCCCATAACAAGCCCTGTGCGCCTGGTCGGTGTGGCTCACTGGTTGAGCATCGACCCATGCACCAGGAAGTCGCCAGTTCGATTCCTGGTCAGGACACATGCCCAGTTTGTGGGCCTGATCCCCAGGGTGGGGGCATGAAGGAGGTGGCCAATCGATGTTCTCTCTAATTGATGTTTCTGTCTCCCTCTCCCTTCTTCTCTCTCTAAAATCAATAAAGAAAAAATATTTATAAAATTAAAGAAAAAAACAAGCCCTGCGCTTTCCCTTCTCCATGCTTTGTCATTCTTTTTCTTCCCCAAACATTCTCCCCATCAAATGCTAACCAGCATACCAACCTTGACCTTATACTTGGAGGTGGTCTGCCCTTTTCTGTACTTCCTTAACTCTTTCATTGATTTGTTATCTATAAATAACATTCATTCATTAAGCAGACTTATCGGATTTTAAAGAATCTTGAGAGGAAGGGCCATTCTTTTATTTATATTTAGATTCCTCAGAACACTACCTTCTAGATTAGTAAGACAGAAAGGACAAATAATTTGAAGCTCCTTTCGAGCTATTTGATTTGGGTTACTTTAACTTCTTATAAGCCTTTTTTCCCTATCTGCGTAATTATAACAACAACTAAATCTCCTTTCACAGAGTAATCTTCTGTATTAAATGGTATAATTTGTTATTTTAAAAGTCTACTATTTCATTGTTAGCTTGTATTATTATCCATCACCCAAATGACGGACATTTTTTCATGCAAGGCAAACCAATGTTACCAAAGGCTAATCAGCAGAAAACCCTTCCCTAGCTGCCGCAGTGATTGATTCCATACTGCTCTCCTGCTACGCAGGGAAAGTCAAGGATTCGTCATTTCTGCAGCTATTCCCCAACAGGCTGACAATGAACGCATGGCTCCCGGAAGTTACCTGCTGGATCTCCTTGTCTACACAGTCAGAGAGCTATTTTACACTTGTGAAAATGTCTCGAGACAACGAAAACATATACTGCAGTGTTTTAACTCATTTCCATTCCAATTGACCTAAATTTATTTCAGTGTCAGCAAAGACAGAAATCAAATTTTGCTGTCCCCAAAAATCTTCTCAAAGAGAACACCAAAACCAAGGGATTAAACTCCTTGGCTTTATCTCCTAGTACAGTTTATGCCAAATAAAAAGATGCAAATGCTTGGCTCAGGCTAAGGGAAAGGCTAGCACGAAGCGTTCTCAAACCAACCACAACAAAAGTCAGGCATCCAGTTGCATGAGATGCCGGGCTGCGTAATTAGGGGAACTAGATGAACAGGGCTGAATCCTGGCTTTTAGAAACCTACCTCTTATACCAGACTTCTCTGATGCACAGAAACTTGTAGGCACCTCAAAAAGAGGGGGTAAAATCTTTTAACTATTTTGGAGGTCATGGACTATATCCCTGGAAAAATACATATACACTACCGGGCCAGGGAGCAGGGCAGGGGGGAGCTGCTGCTTCACAGATAAACTGACATCCATCAATAAACCCGAAGACAACCCTGAATTAAATCAAGAAGTAAATTAAACCACCAGGTGAAAGGTTATTAGGGAATAGGACAGTCCCACATCTCAAAGCATGAACCTACAGATGACTTATTTAAAAAGAAAAAACGGCTTTGTAATAAAGTGGTCCGACAGATGTACCCTTAACACAAGTGATCTGCATCATGACCAAGGGCTCTGCATCACCAGTGACATCACCAACTGATACCACCGTGCCTCCTGATGTGATGTGATGAAACACATACATGTAGTAGTCCTACCAAAAATGTTTAACCTGGAATTGATCAAGAAGAAAAGACATAGTTAGGCTGGGAAACATTCTACAAGACAACTGGTGTAGCCCTGGCCAGTTTGGCTCAGCCGTTAGAGCAATGGCCCATGGACCAGAGTCGTGAGTTTGATTCCCGGTTAAGACACATACCTCGGATGCAGGTTGATCCCCTGTCCTGGTCAGGGTCGTGAGAGAGGCAAACAGTCAATGTGTCTCTCTCACATTGATGGTTCTCTCTCTCTCTCTCCCTCCTTCCTTCCAAGTCTATCTAGAAAAAAAAAAAAATCAATGGAAAAATATCCTAAGGTGAGTATTTAAAAAAATAAAAAACAAATGGCGTAGACTCCTAATAATGTCAATGTTATAAAAGACAAACAAACAAAATTGGGGGGTGGGGAGGCAGCACTGGTTTGACTAAAGAGACACAACAGACAAACTCAATGTGAGGTCCTTGTCTGGATCCTGGATTAGGGGAACAACAATTATAAAAATAAATTTTGGGAAGAATTAAGGGACAACAGTTATAAAATTAAATTTGGGGAAGAATTAGGAAAATCTGCATAAATAGACTGTACATTAGATTATTATCACTGTATAACGTTAGCTTTCTGGACTGCGATGCAGTATTGTGGTTTTATGTAGAATGACAGTGTCATTCTTCGGAGACATATGCTAAAGTATCTAGGGGTGATGTGTCAGGAAGTCTGCCACTTCCTTCTAACCATTTAAGAGAAAGCATGTGCAAGCACAAATACTCCAAAACAAAAACAAAGCATTGAGAAAGCGTGTCTATAATACATCCAAAGACAATGCTTTTCTTTTGAATGTTCATCATTTGGATCAGCTCAATTTTTTAGTAAAAATACTGTCAATCAAAAAAGATTTGTTTTTAGACCTAACCGTGCCCTGTGGAAATAATGGCTTCCTAAAGTTCAAATACATAGAAAACTTGTATAAATTGATTTGCTCTTCATTCTCAGTTCTAACACTCCAAGGGATGCAACAAGTATTCTTCGCAATCTCAGAGGATGAATCTGAGTAGTATGGAATCCATATATAAAGAGGTAGTGTGAATAATTAAAATGCAAACATTAAACAAAAATAAACAAACTTTTTTGAACTTTTAAAGGCAGATTAATTTGGTGAGGTATCACCTCACACCTGTCAGAATGGCCGCCATCAACAAATCATCAAACAACAAGTGTTGGCGAGGGTGTGGAGAAAAGGGGACTCTAATACACTGCTGGTGGGAATGCAGACTGGTGCAGCCGCTATGGAAAACAATATGGTGCTACCTCAAAAAATTAAAAATTGAACTTCCTTTTGACCCAGTGATCCCACTGCTGGGAATATACCCTAAGAAGCCTGAAACACCAATCAGGAAGAATATATGTACCCCCATGTTCATAGCAGCACTATTTACAATAGCTAAGATCTGGAAACAGCCCAAGTGTCCACCAGTAGACGAATGGATAAAAAAGCTGTGGTACATATACACAATGGAGTACTATGCAGCGGTAAGAAAGAAAGATCTCTTATCCTTTGAGACGACATGGAGGGACCTGGAAAGTATTATCCTAAGTGAAAGAAGCCAAGCAGAAAAAGACAAATACCACATGATCTCACTTATATACGGAATATAATGAACATAACAGTCTGAGGAATACAGTAGACCCAGACACATGGAAGTAGGGCACAGACTGACATCCCTCAGAAGAGGGGGTGGGGGTGGGGGTGTGGAAAGAGATAAACCACAGAACTTATATGCATGTATGCATGACCAATGGACATGGACAACTAAGCCGGGGACAGGGTGGAGGGGGGGTGGGGTGGGAGGTGCCAATGGGGTAAAAGGTAAAATATCTGTAACAAAAAAATAAATAAAAATTCATAAAAAAATAAAAATAAAGGCAGATTAATTTGGAAGAAGAAAGAAAGAAACTGAACTTTCCAGTATTTCTCCTTAATTCCAGTTATGCCATTTGGGGTTTAAATTTTTTTTTTTTAAATGTTCAAACTTCTTTAAGTAGAATCTTTATTTTTTCTTTATTGATTTTAGAGAGAGAGGAAGGGAAAGGGAGAGAGAAACATCGACGAGAGAGAACATGGATTGGCCACCTCCTACATGCCCCCCAATGGGGATCCGGCCCACAACCTGGACATGTGTCCTGACTGGGAATCGAACCGGTGACCTCTTGGTGCATGGGTCGATGCTCAACCACTGAGCCACACAGGCCGGACTGCGGTATAAATTTTTTAATCAAACAAAACAAAATACATTTTAAAAAACACTTTTTCTTTGATCTAGTGTTACATGAAAAAAGGCAGGCCCTGGCCAGTGTGGTTCAGTTAGTTGGAGCATTATTCCGTACACCAAAAGGTTTTGGGT